AAGTTAAATCCAATTTTACAATTTTTAAGATTAACAATTTGGGTGAAAATTTAACTTGTTTCACATTAAAGCATGTTTTGTAATAGGGCAATCAAATGTATCATAATGCTGTGCATCGATTTATGCACAGTATTGACTAAAATTCACCAGTTTTACAAAATTGTGCTTATTATTACACACACATATATACATGTTTTCGTTATATTTAAGAATGTAAATTCACCTTAATAATCATGATAAATAAATAAGGATTGTGAGCATTCATGATTGATCCACAGCTATCATGACAGTACAGTACAGTAGTAACATTTTCTCACAACCCGACAATCCTGACTGGTTAATGTGTTAAATATGCACCAAACTGAACAAATTATTCCTGAATTTATATTATTTATTAGTGGAGGGAGGGGTAATTGATGTTGCATTGTCACCGTTGAAAGTCCACTTTGACCATCACAGGCTGGAAGACGTCTCAGCAGAGCTGTTTCCAGGGAGAGAGCTGAAGGACTAGGCGGTCGAGGACAGTGGCGAGGTGTGGAGTGACAAGCTATTTAGATGTGACTCTACCCTTTGCACTAAAAGTCTACAATATCAGTCACAATGAGCCAAAGTGAGGCCAGATTTCAGGCAATGCTAGTCAGTCCTGGAGCGAAGGATCACTTACTTCAAGAATTGAAAGTCAGTGGCAAAAAGATCTGATCTGGAGGGAAGCCCAGCTGTACAGAGGGAAAAGTGTGAAACCTGGAGAAAGAGAGACACTCACTGTGGAAACATAAAAGGAGCTGTCTTGTTAAATTGGCTGCTTGATAAAGCAGGTCTTTGGCTGCGGAGCCACTCAGAGTCACCACTAGTGACACCAGGCAGAGAAAAGAGAGATGGGCCTTTATACATTCACTGCAGAAGACACACTTTTTTACCCAGGAAAAGGTTCAAGCAGAAGAAAAATTTCAACTTAAAGAACAACATAAAAAATGGAACATTTTCATGTTGTCAACTGGATCATTTAAGAAAATAGTGTAATACATGAAAAAATATAGCAGAACAGAGTGAACTAAACTATTACAAGAGTGCAACTGAAAAACAATGAAAGAACAATCAGAACACATTGATGACAACTGCCATAAAACGTGGACCGGAAAAAGAAAAACTAGGAAGTAGAAGAAAACAAAAAACAGATAAAAGAAGAAATAGAGGAAGAAGATGATGAAAGGAGAGAAAAGATTACAAATATTAATTGTCTACAGTGACGCTTCTTCTCATTTTGAAATTTCCAACACTACAGTCTGAGGTTTGGGGAGCATCGTGTCTGTGCAGACTGGATAAATGATGTGCTGAGGTAGTTGCCTCTGCCTGGTGTTACTTTGCACTGACCTTCACCTTTTGCGTGTGATTATGATTCTGAGAGATTAGTTTTGGCAGTGTCTCCAGTACATGGAGGTAAGTGGCATCAGGTACGTTCAACCTGCAGGCCCTACCACCACTGACCCTTTAATCGTCTTGGCTCACTTAAGCCCCTTGTGGATCCCTCAGTAGATTTGATTTTAATGCGCTGTGATTTTTTTTTTCTCCAGCAGAGCCCCCACATTCTGCCTTTTCCCGCTGTGATTCAAATCCTTGACATCAGGAAAATTCAGCTTAGAGAAATCCTGAAAACATCAAAGTTGAACAGTTCAAAGAAAGGAAAATCAATTGTGTCAAATTAAAAATGTTCATTTCAGTGGTTACTAAATGTATAAATCTTTATAAATCAGTGGCTGGACCTGATGTATGGACATCTTACAAGAATTCCATCATAATTCCATATTTCCTAGCTTTCTAAGGATGTGAACTGTGTTGGCAGATTCCTTGAGAAAAAGAAGCCTGACAGAGATGAAAACTGAGGCTGCGTATGTTCTAAATAAAGGTGAAGTTTTTTCAGCATTTTGTGTAAATATCAGTTATTTAATTTACTTATAAGTATTATTTAAAATCTAGTAATATAGTGCTAAAATGTCTTGTTAAACAATTTCTAAAATAAATATACATTTAGTCAGTCAATTCAATGAAGTATGACAAATTGTCATTGTCCTAAACATTTTTCATCATCATATTTATTTATTTTATTCCAACGGTCACAGCATAGTACAATCATTTTTGCTTGGCTTTTTACATAACAACATATTTTGGGTTTACATTTAGGGCAAAATGTGTATTTCACAGCACTGGTGCAGAGGAAATACAAAAAGAAACGACTTGTGCTTGTCTGTATTTTCTGTAAAGAATATCATGTTGTATTTAATGAGAACACATGGCAAGAGTGACGTGAGGAGGGTATGTTGCTGTATTTTTTTAAGCTATTACAATATTAAGCCCAAATGAGACATTGCTGGTAGTAATGTTGCATTCAATGTTAGAGAAAAAAATCAGTTAAAGATCTGCAAACACTGCAAAGAGACAGAATTAAATAGGGAATGAAGTCACTGTAAAACCACAGACCAGAGTGATTTCTGTAACTGGTAACTTTAATTGTCATGTAGAAAAAAAGTTTCTACAGTATTATGTTAGCATATAAAAAAAAAGAAAAAAGATTGCATTGTTTCTGGCAAAATAAGTATTTTTATAATGGGTTTGAAGGAGTTGATTGGACATTGAGATTATTGAGTATAATATTACTAATATTACTAATAATAATAATAATTACTTCAACATGTTTTTTATAAAAATGATTTTTTTAATATAATAGTCGTCATAGCAAATAGTTTTATTAAATGTATTGTTATAATAAGAACTAAAGCTGAAGTTATTTTAAAGATATGTTTGAGTGATAAAAGTGGGCTGGGCGATAATAACCCTGAACAAATAACTCCAGTATGACAAGATGCTAAATACTACACAGAGAACCTTGTAACGGCAGAATGTTGTTTTAAAGTTGCTATTTTTGTGGTAGATCCATTTACAAGTTAAAGAAATACACAACAGTGGGCTGTTTTGGTAAACTGCCTCATAAAGAGAGCAGTGTCTGCTCTGGGTTTGACATAGGAACACTAATTTCTTTCTATTTTCGTGCACGTTGAAAAAGAGTGGACATTACAGAGCACCACACCTGCATTTGAGTGGAGATTCTGAGAGAACAGCAGAACAAAAAGAAGTATTGTTGTTGGGTGTAGGTCAGCGCAGCTAGGTTGCTGCTCCCTAGAACATTCCATGGTGTCACATAATACTGTCAGTTTCCTGTTGAAAAGTGCCAGCCCAGAAAGATTGAGTGTGCTCCAACAGTCCATGCTGTGTATATGTGCTTGTCTACACTGTTTGTATGTAAAAGAGTGAGGCCTAGTCTTTTTATCTGCCGACGCTGACTTGGGATTTGGAAATTCTGAGGTAGAGGGACTTGTGCTGTTCATTTGACACAGACAGGAACTGTTTTCTGTGCCGTGAACTGTCAGAAAATGACTATTTATCAGGCAGACAAAGACGAGACAAAGAAAGATACAGCTTAGAAATATTGGTGACTGCCTGCAAACTGCTCCCCCAGGATGTGGCCCAAACTATGGCCTCGAGAAGAGCACATCATTTTGCTTTATTATAAAATTAGAACTAAAAAAAGAACAACAGACTAAAAAATTTTTTTTTTTTTCTTTTGCATTAACACAAACTGGTGACGTACTATAACTGTTATTACTTTGAACTACGTGGCATATTTCTAAAATTATTAGGGGAAATTGAGCACATTCCAAACTCTTGAGGTTTTTTTTTTTTTTTTCTTTTGCATTAACACAAACTGGTGACGTACTATAACTGTTCATACTCTGAACTACGTGGCATATTACTAAAATTATTAGGGGAAATTCAGCACATTCCAAACTCTTGAGGTTTTTTTTTTTTGCCTTTGTTGCAGCAATGAAAAGAAATTAAAACAAGATTTGATCCAAGTTAAGAATTATCTTCACACATTTCTCTGTAGCTCATTTATCAGACCAAACAATAAATGTGTACAGACAAAACCATAAATCAGCCTTTAATACTAGGTTTAATGTGATCTATGACCTCATAATTTACACACAGGCAAAAATCAACAACACAGTCGAGAGGGAGGGAGACTAGAGTTGGGGAGGGGCACTTTAAACATTAACAGAAATGTAAATGTGTAAATTAGACCTGACCCTGTGCAGCTCTGCAGCTCTGAAAAAAAAAGTGAAATCATGATATAAAAGAGCAGCATATAATAAAATAAAATAAAACTATAACATCAGTAGGTGTTTAAAAAAACAATGTTAAAAAAACATTCTTTTTTGTGTGTCTTTGGTTTAAGGTCTGTGTCACTGTGATCAACGCGGCCTCATGATTTAAGGACTAGAACTAAAGAAGAAAATGATTTCTGGATTTATCTTCTCTGGCTTTATTATTATTATTATTATTATTGGGTTATTAATAGATTTATTTCACCAAGAAAAGTGTAGATAATTAGCGTACAAATCGTTTAAGGACCATTTATTTCGATGACTTGACCAGCTTTTGTGAAAAGAACTTGAATAATTTACAGTCACAACACTGTCCCCGAGTGAACCACAGCGCACCAGTCGCAGTGACACAATTTATTTTCCTTTGTGTCCACGTGTCAGTTCTGCTGCCTTTCTCGAGTCTCTTCTCTGCTGCAGTCAGACGCGGAATTCATTACACCACTTTTCTGCCCCTAGATTTTCACACCACAGCTTTGAACATCTGCACCCTGTCATGTATCATCCCATTCATTTCTACTTAATTTGATCCTAATAAGTGCCTACATGAGGAGCCAGATGTTGCTGCATAGACTGTGGCACTTGAAGTTGTGTTTGAAGGGAGTTGTACTCCATACCTTGTAGTCAGTGTTGTTCATGCAGTACTAAGACCATAGTTCATAGTATAATCATATACTATGAACTACGTTTTTTTTTTTTCTTCTTTTTCTTTGGGCTGTTCCCTTCAGGGGTCGTCACAGCATGATCATCTGCCTCCATCTTATTTTCTCAGTGTACACAGAGCTGGATTTTCAGTTTTGTCAAAACTAAATAACTGGTTTACAGGAGAAAAATACATATTGTAGGAACTCAAATCGCACCAAGGTCAACTAAATTATTTCAATGTTTGGAGCGAAAAAGATCAAATGTTGTCAGTTTCTGAGCCACGGAGGCATCATGGAGGGAATCACAGGGCTCCAGATGAGGTTCAGTGGGCAGGATGCTGGGAGTAGCTCTGATTATATCCTGTGTATAAAGAACCCCTGTAAACCTGACTGTTAATCAGCACCATATGTCAACCACTGGTCCTCATTCTCATCTTGTCATTTCAAGTGGCTCCTAGACATGACTCTCAACATGCCCCAGATTTAGCCACAGCAACTAGCAGCCTGGCACATGTTAATAAAAGACATGGTGGATGGAGAAGAACCTTTGGGACGCTAGATATTTGGTGTAGGAAAAGCCAAAACGTCAACCACATGACTATTTTTATTTGGCATCATAAGATTATTTTTAGATGAAAATATTGGTTTAGAAAATAGTTTTTCTTTAATCTAGTACAAAAGGTTGGTGTATTTTGTTCAGTACATCTTCAGGGTTGAACATTTTTCACATTACGCTACTACTTACTATACTTTTATACTCTGATGTAAAACTTGTAAATTGAAGGATTACTAAATCAAGGCCGTGCTGTGAATTTAGACGGAGAAAGTCAATGTTTGACACATTCACCTCCAACACTGTTTCTGTTTTCTGTGACTGACCACAATTTCAAACCACAGTCGTTGTGCAGGTTGTGTTACAGGCAACATAACAGTCAACTGTTGCCCCTAGTGGTTACAGACTCTGCCTTGTGATCAGAGAGTTGCCGGTTTAAATCCTGTGTTTGACAAGGCTTATTTGTGGTATATATTGCACTGACAGTGAAGTAGCTTTAAATATAAAAGTACCATATCCAAAACTGCTAATGCTACTGCTTTATTAACTAATGTTTCTCTAGTATCACCTGAGTGCACTGAATCACAAGGACTCCAAGATAAAAGACAGACAGAGAGAGAGAGAGAGAGAGAGAGAGAGATTTTTTCAGGCTTGTGGTCAACTGTCGAATCTGAAATCTTCCTTTCCCAGACACATTTACTGTGTAATATTGTACTGTACCGTACATTTTTTCTTCTATCTGTTATTTTAGTTCCATGCTCCTTGTACTACACAAGGTGAGGCTGGATTCAATTCTGTGGCTGGTCAAGAAAAAAAAAACCACATGGCTCATATGCAGAGCAGCAGTGGAGCACTTCTACCAGCTGAGCATCGAATCAGGTCAATTTAAATAACTCCCCTGATTATAATTTCAATTGCCTCTGGGGTCAGCGGGTTAAATTTGTCGTCCTGCCATGGATCATTATTACACAGGGGGAAAACTACACTGCGATGCTTGAGAAGGTAATAGAGCCGAGGAGTGTCACCAACCCATCCCTGCAAGTGGGCATCTGCTCCTGTTTAACCCCGGGCTACAACAGCACTCTGGGTAATCAAAGTGACCAGCACGTTTCACTTACTGCCTCCTCAATGAAGGAGAAGGCATCGAAGTCACACAGCTATTCCGTCCACATACGGTCGTTGTTTAGAGGAAATGATTACAGCTCATAGTAGTCAGAGACTTCAACAGCTTGAGCTGAAAAGCCCAGACTCTGGGCTCCTTCTGTGTAGCTGTTAGTACTGAGTCCCACATCAGGGGCGACTGCACTGTTGTCACTCAAAGTGTCTACAGCTTAGTGTCTCTGTCAGCTGACTGGTGTCTCATTGTTTTACATGCTCAGGGATGATGTGCCTGTGAGAGAGTAAGTGCAGACCCCTCAGGCAAAACATCACGTCAGAGAGCTTTGTTCTCCAGGATGCTGGGGTCAAGACAACTGCTGCTGCTGCTGCTGCTGCTGCCACTCGGTTCCTCTGCTAACTGGGGAAGTCAAGGAGATGAAATGGAACATCCTGACTCTTATACTTCCTAATGCTTTGTGACAGCCACGCTCTGCCGAGACTGTGGGAGTGCCGACACAAAGGAGCAGCGACAAAACAAACATTGCTTCTTTGGAAAGGGTTCAACGCCACCAGACATGTGTTCATCACATGCGCTGATGTTGTCTGACACCAGGGGGAGTTTACACAATGTAACGTTCAATAAATTATGCCGAGTGTCCTAGGTGGCAATCTATGATCAAACCTGAGAAATAAATCTCGGGATAAAATTCTCAATGACAATTTCATATAAAGATCGTAAATAACAAAATGCTGACGATTTTAACTCATTTTGCCACATAATATTTTATGAATGATTTATACCATTATATAAAATATTAAAGACCACACAGGAGTTCTGTGTCAAAGTATGAGTCCAGTTAACCAGGATCATGGTCTGATCCAGTGATGGGCTGGGTTTTAGTCTGCAGTTGTAGACCTCACTAAGTCAGTCATTATAAAGCAGTGTCATAGTGTAACACCTAAGGTTTGTCTATGCTCTGCTGTAAAATAAAACAAAAACAGATGATCATAAATATCTGAAGGTTTTTATAATGGAAAAGTGCAAAGAAGGTTTTGGTGACAGAGAGAAAAACAAGTAGTGATGACATTCAGAAGCAGAAAAAAACATAAATGGCCATTATTATTTCATACAAGAGCCTTTTTCTTTGCTTGAAAAATTTAAGCTGCAGTGGCAGCACCAACGCTGCACATGTCAAAAGAAAGCCCAGGGACCACAGATGATTTAAGTGGGAGAGGAGAGCATATGCAAAAACCACATGTGTAACAGCCATCAGTAAACAGTGAATATGTGGTAAACTTGGCAGAACACTGACATTTTTTCAAAGCACAGCCAGTGTGTTAAATAAAGACAGGGCCCAGTGAGCTGCTTTTCTTATGTCAGGCTGCGGACGGGCCAGAGAGGGAGCAAAAGAGGGAGAGAGAGGGGGAGAGGGGGAGGGAGAGAGAGTGCATGTGCGTGTGCATGTGTGTGACTGTTATAAAACATAATAAGATGTCCGAGAACCATTCTGGGTTTGAGCATTTATAACATGTGTTTGGACTTCTTTTATTTACTCGTCAGTGTATGAGATGTACCAGACAGGACACACTTAAAAAAAAACTAAAATGAAAATGTCATACGATTAAAAATGTAGATTCATCCGCTGCTTTCAAAATAATATTCCGCCTCTGTGGCAAAACTTTTTAAATATGTGAATCAACAAGCAACTTTTAATTGTCTACTAAACTGACCGTCGGCGTTCTGATGCACAGGCTGGATGAAACAGGTTTTAACACAATGCCTTTAAAAAAATGTTTCAAAAAACCAGGGTGGTTTTACTTCACTTATCGTTATCGTGTCGATAACTTCAAGTTTTAACTCAAAAACACACACTTAAATCTCACACGGTGCTAATGGCAGAAGGATGTTTTTCCCCAGACAAGGCATTCATTTCAACAAGCTTCAAAGTCGTGGATGTGGACGTTTGGAAGCCCACTGCCTAATTAGACATGCTTATTGGCAAAGCAAAGTTGCAGCATCATTTAGTCAACAAGCAATAAACAAATTTTTCGCCACATTGCCATATTCTTTAGTCATTAGTTCAGAGGCCATCTGTACATCGAAAATAAACAAGAAACCTTCCTCTTGCCTGTGTAGAATTCTAACAGTGGCTGAGCCTTTGATCTGTGCTCCTTGATCTATGGGGCTCATGGTGTCACGTCCCCCTGTGATGTGTTGGATTAATTAGGTGGAACGGGCATTTATCCATTAAAATCATAATACTAATTTAGCCGATGCAGTGTGATGTCTCTGTGGGTGGCAGCAGTGGGTCCAGCTTCTGTTAGAGACGCTTAGCCTTCACGTCGTCTGACGACCTCCAATGCCGAATGGATGGAGAGCGGGTGGCGATCCTGCGAACACAATCGACAATTATTAAGGGTATAATTGAGTTTCCTGCGAACACAATCGACAATTATTAACACCCACCAATGAGTATAAATTAATGAAGGACAACGAGCTGCTGTAAATACTGTAAAAGCTCGCTTATTAGCAGAGAATCCAAAAAAAAGGAGGGAAATGGTTTTCACTCTTTACTTCAACAGAAACATGGAGAGAGGTTAGGGAGGAGGGAGGAGGCAGAGAGGAAAAGGGAGGAGGAGAAAGTAGCAGTCTGTCTATAGCGTCTGTCTAAAGTGTGCATCAAATGTAAAAAAAAAAGAAGAAATAAAACAGATAGAAAGAGAGAGTGGAGGTGTGTGTGTGAGTGTATAAGGCTGGGAGACACAACGGACAGGGGTGAGGAGAGGAGAGACAGAGAGCATCTGCAAACACCACAAGTAAAAACCATACAAATCAAATCTTTCCTTAGTTCTTTGTGTCCACACCAAAAAAGAGTGACCATTGTCCATCCACGTGTACAATTGTGAAGTGTCAGGCCCGTGGTTCTGCAGCCCCTTTCTTGCACCTTGCTCTGTGAATGAATGCTATCTCAGAGCTGCAGTCTCCAAACTGCTGCCTATTCCCACACCCAGCACTGCCCCCGGGGACAAGGAAAAACACAATTGAAAAGAAAGTCTCCTTTTTTTTTCTTTTTGCATAGGTTTTCCCAGCATCATGTCGCAAACTGTTTCCGTTCCTTATCAAAGAACAAATGCCTTTGAAAAAGATGGAAACAAAGCCCCGAGGCTGCATTGTTGTCTGCTTTTGACAGGAATAATCTGGCTTTTTTATCACTCCTCAAAGTAGCCTCCTGGAAAAAACAACCTGTCTGACAGCACTGTGCAGGGAGACAGTCACATGACACACGCTGCTGGAGATTACACACTACACAGGACATGCATGCAGGAGGTAGTACACACAGAGAGAACTCTGCATATGAAGTAGAAATCCCTCCAGGTCAGTGTAAGAGTGGCTTAAAGAAACTTTACATCAATAACACGTTTGCAGCGGTCATTACAAGGTATAAAAGGTTATGACTTTTTCTACTGACTTTTATAAACGTTCATGACTTTGGCCTTTCTATTTCACTGAACACAGCATTGACTTAGCACCAGAGTAGAGTGCCATCTACTGGCTGCCTGTGGTGGTGGTATTGAGTGCTCGTTTTTGATCCATGATATTACATTTGCTCCAGATAAATATGAAACAGAATGAGTTGTTATTTAGTCAGAGATTAAACAATATGCATCTTATCAAATAAGAATTGTTGAAGGGATTATTTTCTAACCTCTACTTAAAGCAATAAACTAAACCTGTAAAAATAAAAAATGTTGTCTGCAAAATTTAAGAAAATATCTATAAAGGTAGCCATTGATACAGGTATAAAAAATACCACTTTTTGAACTTCCATTAACTGTTGCTAAAGCGTAGCTTTAACTAAAACACGTCACCACAGGAGTCTGGAATGTCATCACTGAAGAACAGCCGATTGTTGATCATCATCAAAATTGTCTTTCTAATAATTACCAGTCGTCTGAAGTTGACTTTAACAAGTGGAGCCTGTTTTCACTTTCACCTCTTCTGCTGAATATGGAACACATACTAATAACACTGGTGTTGTCTGCTGCATCCAGGAGGTGACAACCTGTTTTCGAAGCCAAGCCGGAGACATGTCATCAGCACTAAAAGATGAATAGATCAGTAGAAGTGTCACTATCTTTTCTGGCTTATGACACACAGAGCAGTGATAATTTTTCACAGGATGACAGTCGCCCAGAGGAAGAAAAATCTCAAATGCCGTCTGAGGAATTTCTGAACTAAAACGGTTTGAAATGAAACAGAAGAAAAGAAGCATAATTCATCCTGGTTATATTTTCTCTTATATTCCACCCTAATTAACACAGTTACCTGAGAATGCATATATAAACTCTAATTTGGTATAATGTTTTTATCTAATCCACTGATGACACTGTGATGCATTGTGTCATATTGTGACACAGACATACTGCTAAGTGAGGCAAAGACAAAACTGCCAAGAAGCTTTAAGTAAATATAGATAACAACTAAAGAAAACATCCAAAATCATTAAACTCATATACAAGATTATTAAGCAATTGCAAAACTGCCTGAGTTTCTCAAATTCAGCAACATCAGCCAATTATGGGTTGATGTAAAATCTAACTCGGGGTCATTGTCGCTACTGTGTGGGCTGGTTATACATTGCGTTCAGAGTTTGTTGATTTTCTGACACGCGGCCATGAAGAGTGAGCCGACACTGTGCCATTGTGCCGCTGTACCGTTGTTGCTATCCGATGAGTCTCGATGTGGGCTGCTCTGCATCCTCACTGCCCGAAGGCTGTTTTCTTAATCATATTAATGAGGCTGCGATGTTCCAACCTGTGTTGCCTCTGCCCAAGCAGCAGCCCTATTTGCACTGTACCTATACTAATCTGACAGCCTTGATCAAGGAACAGAAAATAAAACCCCTAAGGCCTCTATTGATCAGCCTTGAGTCTTAGCCTAACACTGTTGTGAGGAGCTGGTTAGCTATTACAAATGTTTGTGCGTCCAATGAATTATTTCATCAGAAAAAAAAGGCATGCTGCATAAAGTATTTATTCAGGAGTAAACAATTTCAAAGGGCCGTCCATGCTGGATCACCCCGGTGGAGATCAAGGTCCAACAGTGCAGCCTATTCTTTGTGAACATCTTCAGTTTAAGGCGAAAAACAAACCAAAGCCAGGAAGCCAGAACCGAAACATACAGCTGGAAAAGTTGTATGGTTGAGTATTTTTGAGATTACAAACTAGCTAGCACTCGATATTAAACTATTAGCATAGTCAGGGATTATACAATGCTATATATGAGATCTCCAGTAATTTCTATGAGAGCCAACAAAAGACGGCAGAACAAGTGGAAATCACAAGGAAGAAGGAGGAAAAAGGGAAAAACAATAAGTGCAGGGTGTTGATAATCAGCAGTAAAAGTATCCACAGAGACCTGCCTTCACACTGATTACCTAAATGTTTACTAATGGACTTCGTCTCTCTCTGTTTCTTCGTCTTTCTTTTTCTCCCTCTCTCTCCCTCTATTCTATTCTATTACAGAGAATTGTTGAGTGTTGCCCCGGAGGCTTATATCTCTCACAGGGCCACAGGCCTGGTTAATGGATGACCCACTCGTTAGCTAATTGCTGTGGTGTCCCTGAACACAAAGAAAATGTTAACTTATGTTATATAGCTGTTGGATAATGAGTTGCAGCAGCTCCAGCACCTTCCTGGAGGCTTTGGATGCACTTTCCTCCGTTCACGTGCAGTGACTGTAGTTCACACCTTTACCTAGAGAGAGAGAGAGAGAGAGAGAGGCGGGGTACTTTTCACTTTTTCACCTGCACATGTTAAAAACACTTAGATTTACTTTTTTAACTAATATATTTTTTAATTATATCACACTGTTTGAATGCATAAAAATCATTGATATTGTTATCAAGTAATACAGAAGGCTGACTGGAGCTGATGCCTGGGCTTGAGTCCATGCATGAGTTATGAAAACGCGACAGCTCAGTTTTGAATACTCACACACCTACCGACACAGAGAGCATGGAACTCATGTAAGAAAAAAGGAACATGTACAAAAAAAGAAAAAGAAAATATATGAACTAACTGTAAATTATGTAATGAGCTGACATACTGTGACAGCAATATATTTATTGGATGGACATATTTTTAAAATATTTTTTATATTTTTCTTAAAAAAACGAAAAAAGGAAATAAAGACAGAAAGACAAACAGAAATAATGTGCAACGTGTTAATAACATATTTCTCTATTTTAATCTGCCAAATCTGTCAAAAAGCCTGTCTGTGAACCCACATGTAAAATTGAAGTCGGCGATGGACTAGATTGCATATTTAGGTCCAGCCAGCCTCAGCCTGTGTGACTGTATTTTCAGGATCTCTGAAGTACAGACAGCTTCTTCACCTCTCAGACCTGCAGCCAGGAGTGAAGAGGCCAAGCTTGGCTGAAGAGCCTCTTTCACCCTCCTCTGAGGATTTGTTTTTTTCACTGGGTGAACACACTGGAACACAGAGCCATGTTTGAAATTTACTGGCACTTTTTTCCAAACGCGGGCCGCAGCCAATTGGAGAGGCCGGGACTGATGATTTTATTCAATATTTAACATCCCAGCGCAGAGTTCTCTAGCAGCACAGGATAAACAGTGACGGGTCTGAGCTGGGTATAAAATGAAATAAATAAGTTAACACCGCATCCCGGCTACATCCTACAACTGAGACTTAGTCAAACCTCAGGAATTACATATTTCAAGCCCTTTTCATGCACATGGTTTTGTTACGGCTTTATCTTCACTATGAGCAGCCTGTGTTTATTCAACCCCTCAATTACCAAAGGCTCAGCCGGCAGGCCTTTAATTGATTACTTTAATTGATTGGTCGGGGGGTAACCATGGCTGAAAAGCAGTTTATCTTAATCAGTTGAGAGGAAATTTAGAGTGGGGCTTGATTTCCTCCAGCTGATCACCCCTGTGTGCTCAAAGTGCAGAGAAGGAGGAGGTGTGTGTGAAAATGTCTTCTTACACTTCCAACACTTAAGGATGGGATTACATTTTACCCAGAGAAGCTTTGCTTTCTCTGAATAAGTGACAGAGACAAGCACCAGTGTTCAGCTGCTTTTATTTAGTGCCTTCAAACTGGGAGGCCCAGCTGTGTGTGCTGCATGTTTAGAAAAGCTGCGACGCCAGGAGGAATCACCTTCCACTGTATGCTTTTATACTGCACGTTTGTAACGTCACCAATTTTGGAGTGTCTTACAGTTTCTTATACTGTTCATATTTTTTGACATTTTACAAAAATCTGTCCTTTTTAATAAAATATATTTTTAATGTTAACTACTCAAATCAAAGGTCCCGCAAAGAAAATATTATTGTCACTGAAAAAGTACATTTGAATTTCTTCGTATGTTTAAATCACATGAGTCTGATGTCAGTCAAATTTGGAAACATATGGACAAGAGGTCAAACATGAGTGATAATTATTTTGTCAATACTGATTGTGAGTAAAAATGACATATTTCTTTGAACCTGTCAGTGACGATAGGTTACCACGGCTATGATTAGACTTGTGAAACAGCAGGAGGTTATCTGACGTCTTCTCTGTGGACCTCATTCTTCTCACTCACAGTGCAATTAAAGGAGCGATAGGAAATGGTGATAAGAACCATTTTTCTAATTGGGGCTCTTGGCAGCCTTGTTACGTGTTTGTCGGCAGTTTGTTTCTGTCAAGTGTTTTGTTTTAGCAATAAACTCAGAATAAAAAATGTTTTTTTTTTATTTCATATATATAGTATTATTTTTATTTTTCTTGGTTTGCATCCACTTACTTTGTCTGTCTTATATGTCTTTTAAAGGATGATGACAGAAAGGTCATGTGACCCTGTTGGATTAAGAGCAACAGTCCTGCTCCTGAGAGAGGCCACTCTGTTGGGCTCCCACAAGGCCCAGTTGTGTGTCAGCATCTGGGGATGGAGCACAAAGGAGCCACAGCAGGGCAGCCAAGCACAACCAAGAGCTTCTCGGGGGAAGAAAGTAGAATAAGTTGTGTTTCCCATGGCTCTTTGCCCACCAAAGGTTATGTCATCCAGCCAGTAGGGCTACAACAACAGTAATATCTACGAGTTGGATTAAAGGCAACTGTCAGGTAAACAAGGGTAAGAATAAGAGCTGGAAAACAACTTTTTTTTAAAAAAACAACAGAAAGACATGCCTTGGATGGAAAACAGTGATAAGAAGCTATATTTTTTTTATAAAATTTTGTTCTCTTGAAGTAGCATTAAAAAAAAGCTACAGACTTACAGATTTAAGGATTATAAAAAAATATTAAAAAGTATTAATCTTAAATACAGCAAATGAAAAGGAGTGAAAATGTTAAATTATGTTTTGAAAGATTCAAACTCCTATTAATATAACATTTTAATTCTGAAAGGTTTCAATGGTCTTTGTTTGATGCATCAGTTGCTTTTTGTTTTTCAATGATGTTATTAAAACATGTTCAGTCATACCACAGGTCAAACGATTTGTCACTGCAAGCAACAGTGGTGCGTTAAATTCTGTTTTTGTGAGAGTCAGCAGAAGGAACTTCAACTGGACCAGGTCCTCATGATACCATTTGAACCCACAGCTGCTCCTGAAGCCTAATACAGCAGGTAATACCAATGGGAGGTACAGTAGATCATGAAGAGCCGTCTACCTGTGGCCCAACATCTCCAAAGACACGGGTTAGAGCCAGGTTTGAACAGGGACTAGGATTGAGCAGAGGGACTGTGGGAGAGATTAACAGCTCTTTGTCAGAGCTCAGCCTCGGGGTTTTTGTTCTTCTGCTCAAATCCTCCCTAAGCCTTTGGAGCACGTTCACCGCAGTGAGTGCATGTACGTGTTTGGGAGAAGGAGAGAGACAAGAGTACAAGATAATACACATCTCCGTGTATATCTCAGTGAATGTGTCGGGCTTTACCACAGACCTGGAATATTATTTTCAACTGTGTGAGTTAGAACAGCAGCACCTCATCTTCACCTTCACGACATGTCAGTAATGACTGAGAGACAGATCCATTTACAAACACATTTCCGTCTGATTCTCTCTTCTCCATTCCATTGCAGAGCTGCCTTTCCCAGATAAATGTCGGAGACCGCCCTCATATTCTCCCGGAATAAGGTTCCCCGGATACGTCCAAGAGATTATATGATACATCACTCAGTCACATTTACCTCAGACCTCACATGGCATGGACTAAAAACAGGTGCATCTTCAACCAGACGGGAAAGAGGGGGAAAATGGAGAGGCATATTTTTATTAGCCCAAACTGACTGTCAGAGAGCGTCTGCAGTCAAAGGAACTATCAAAGGATTTATTCCTTTCAGATGTGCAAGTCTAAAGTGGGTCACACGCCACAGTCACTGTGATATCACAGTAAATATTCACAAGCTTATAATTATTTAATAATACCCTAATGGAAAAGATCCCCACCCCAAATGTAGGCCCACCTCCAAACTTAATCTTCTCCAAATATGTTAACAAATTCATCTGTAAACTTCTTGTAGCTGTCCTGCCTTTTCACCTCCGCGACTGAACACAGAGAAGGGAACATTTGGCATTGATGAAGAACACAAGTGAACGGGAGAAAATAAATGAAAAAAAGGCCAACTTGAAGTCACTATATAAGTATAAAATTAAAAATAAATAGATTAGATATTTCTGATCTGCATGCATACACGTTTGTACCACGTGTGTGTGTGTGTGTGTGTGTGTGTGTGTGTGTGTGTGTGTGCGTGTGTGGGTGACAAGGCCACGCCACCCGTGTAAGGTCATAATATATGCTTGCATAAAAATGAGTTGTGCTAACCGTTGAACCCAGGCTCTGTGTTAAGAGCCCTGCTGTTTAATCAGAGGTAAATTATTCTGTCTTGCCTCCTGCGGTCATTTGTCAGAACATATTGATGTCCGTCGTCAGCAGCAGCTGAACACTAGAAAACTGTTGCGTCTGCTTCAGCTCCCATACAAATTACAAAGTAAAACCTTTCACCTTAACAGGCAGTAACGCTGCGGCCTAGTCATACCAACGAAGAAAAAGCATCTGGTAGTTAAATGATTTGTCAAAGCTCATCCTGAATCCTCCGGCTTCTCCAGACCTCGGGGTAGATCTGTCATGGGTTTATTATTTAGAGATACACAGGTTTTATTCCAGTGTGTGTTCTTCAAAAGTATAGTACAATATTCCCCACAATACCCTGCTCTGTTCTCCATACAGGCTCCTGTGCAGTTCTCTGTTTTCAAGTCCAGTTCTTCAATTTTAATGCAACGTAACTTCATTGCATTCAGACTCAGATCAAAGTGCTCTGTTCTCTGTTTGATGTATCCTCCATTTGAAGTTTTTCCCAAAGACAGAGGGTGTAAAACAAAAGTTTACATATTCTTGTTTTTCTGGGAGCGACCTCTGCTTCACGATATATTGATCCTCACGCTCAGGTAGAAGGGAGAGAGTAGAAAGGCTTGAGGTTTTTGTTTGAATCCTGGTGTATCGCCAATACAGGCCACTAGACTGCGTCTGACCAGCCTGGAGCAGCTGAGGAAATAAAGGGGGGGGGGGGGTGAAGGAGGTCAGAGAAGCCCGTTGGTCTGGTTTGGTATCAATCTACAAGAGGGTGGACATGTGAGGTGACCGGCTGTGTTCTGAACAATCCCAGCCCAGGGAAAGTATAACCCACCGTGACAGTGATTGGCAGAGAGGGGAAGCAGTGCTGTTGAGATGCTGGATGGATGCAGCCGC